GGAGGAATAAGTATATTAATTCAAATAAATCCTGAAATAAAAGCTTAAAAGCACTACAAATAAATTGATAAATTTAATATGAAATCCATAAAAGATATTTATTCAATCGTCTTTAATTTCATCAATTGCATCAATTTCTTTAACTTCAATACTTCCTCCAAACCTTTCCTTGTATTTTTTATTTTGTTCAACTACATAATTTAATTCAGCAAAGAAATCCGTATCTAAATAATATTTTCTTAATGCAGATTCTAATACAAAAAGTCTATCTTCAATAGTGGCATCTTTAGGTAAATTACGTGGATTGTCAGCAAAAGGTATTCCAGCTTTAGAAACATAGTGTGCAGCCATTATCATTTCATACTTTTTGCGCACGTTCCAACAACACAAATATTTTTGTGTGAGACCCCTGTAATTAAAGCAAAAGGTAGTATAGATTAATTTTGATTACACAAAAGTTTGTTGTTTAGTTAATAAAACGATAATAGCATCCCAACCAAGGAGAAATCTTTGGACTTCCGAATAGTAATGTGTATACCCCAACAGAAGCGCCATAAAAACCACCCAAGGATGAAATAACAAATAAAACTAAAAAAGTAAAATAGATTTTGTTGGATAAATAATATTGTATGAATATGTTAAAAAAAATTGCAATAAATTGGAAATTATATTTACTAGTATAGTCAAAAGCTTCTTCTTCATTATATATAGTACTATTCTTTAGTTTCAATAGTAAAACAGTGTATGGAGAATTGTCAGCTATTTGAAGTTCTTTAATTTTAGTGTCAACAAAAGCTTCTTTAATGGTAGGATCAAATCCAAGTCCTTTCAGGAAAAGAGTGTTGTAAGTTGATCGTGTCCCGATAGAAAACTCTAGCATAACCAACTTTCCCTTGTTAAATGGATGAATGTTGAAAGTTATATTGTTCTGAATTGTCTTATTGTTACTATCAATTTTATAGATATGATTAAACATAATCGAAAAATAATCAGAAGCTAAACTAGCAGGAGGTGATACATCGGAAGAAATGTTAAAAATAATATAGTTTAGGCCAAGGTTACTATTTTTTCGGGAACTAGATATACAATTATTGCCAGCACCATTACACTCTTGATTTGATTTATTCCGAAATGGTGAAAAAGTCCAACAACTAGTAATATTGTTTGAAACGATATAATCATTGCATGATGTAAGATTTGTGGAACTAGTGAAATTATAACACATAATATTAGCAATATTAAGACGTGATCCATAAGGATTATAAAATTCAGTAGAGCTATTGTAAAATCCGGTGGAAGTATTATAAAATTCATTAAAGCTAATATTTGAATCTATATTTTTAAGTATAAAGAATGTTAGTATTTTATTTTATTTTATTTAATAATTTATAATAAATGAAATATACATACATGTGCGGCATAAAGAAAAGGCTAGTGTCAATCATATAATACATATTAATCTTTAACATCAATATGATATTTAAAAAAAGATGAATTGCGCATGTTGTAAACGGGAACAGAATTTAAGTGGATTTGGAAATTATTAAATTTAGGGTAGAATTACTTACATCCTAAACTAGAATAATAAATACCAATACTGCCCACTTAAATTTTGTTCTAATTTAAACGTACATACCTGGAAAGATGATATCAGATTCTTCTAAATAAAAAGCCAAATTTAA